TGTCTCTCTCTCTTTATCGTTCGCTGCCTCCGACTGGCCTGATCATTGGATTTAGCAAAAATAGCAAAAACGGCTAGCTGAACCTTGGTAGCTCCTTAGCTTGAATGCCACTTTCTCTCTCTCTCGCTCTCGCGCTCTCTCGCTCTCTCTCGCTCTCTTTCTACCATTTAGCCCCCAACCATGTCCACCAACCGCATCCCCCACCCTGGATTCCCCAGGCTAACCTTGAAATCCCTCGATCTCCCTTCCCTCCCCACCCGATAATCCATCCCACTATCCTTTCGATCCATTCAAAAGCCTATAAAAACTTATTCTACATTGATGTACTCTTTCCGTGGGGCTGCTATCTACAATACGCCTGCAAACCTGTTGCTTCCCCCGCGACTGTAGCCGCCTGATTGACCAGGCCTGTGTTATCCTTCGTGTTTTCAGATGAGGAATCTTCATTTTAAGCCGAAGTCCAAGCCTAAGCCTAAGCTTAAGCCTAAGCCTAAGCCTAAGCCTAAGCCTAAGCCTAAGCCTAAGCCTAAGCCTAAGCCTAAACCTAAGCCTAAGCCTAAGCCCAAGCCTAAGCCCAAGCCTCAGCCTAACTGTAAAGTGTTTTCACTCAACTTGGAGTTTCGTTTCGGGACCAAGTGCATCTTGAGCAGAATTTTTCGCTGATTTCGAATCCATTTTCCAAATTTGCTACCGAGATTTAGTTTGAAAGTTATAAGGCAATTATGGTAGAGTTTGCACCAAAATCAAGGTACCGTGATCGCTTTCGAATGTCTTGATCAATTTCAACGTCAAAATTGGATAGACATTGGCTAGACAAGCTTCTAAAAGGTCAAAACAAGTTTTTTTGATAAAAGAATTAGAGTTGCTATGCAAAAAGCAAAAGCTTGTTGCAGGGCGGGGGATCGAACCGCCGCCCTGCGCTTGGCAAGCGAGGATTTTGCCAATGCACCATGGTGCCAACCGGACAATGGGCTGTGAGAGCCTACTTCAGGGCACCTCGGAGTCCTAGGACCAAGGAGGGAATAGTGGGCCAGAATCCTTACTTTTGGTTTTTTTGAGCTTAATTTGCACCAAAAATTACTTTTTAAATAAAAGTCCGTAGCAAATTTGGAAAACGAACTCGGAGTCAGCGAAAAATTCTGCACAAGATGCACTTGGTCCCGAAACGAAACTCCAAGTTGAGTAAAAACACTTTACAGTAAGCCCATCCGTCCTAACCTCACCAATCCTCTCAAAAACAAACAACATTTTGAAAATGGCCGCTCACCCATCCCCCCATAGCAGGGGTGAAAGGGTGGCTGGGGGGTTGGAATCGACGGTGGCGGTGGTGTCCTTCAAAATTTGCCCATTATTCTCCTCGCCCTACCGCTCGTCCTCTTCCTCTACAGCTACCCGATTTCTCCCCCACCCTTCGTTTCCCCTTCAACGATTTCTCCTCGCTACCATCTCTACTCGCGACGTACCCTCGATTTCCCTGTGCACCACCATCTGCACCTCGTGGTCAGCTGCGTTAAAGGGACCGATATTTCCCTCTCTTTCTGTCTTTCTCTATCATCTCTCTCTCCTTCACTATGTCAGTTTTAAGGGACTCAGAAAGGCGGGAAAGCCGATTCAACGACTTTTCTCCAAGGGCAGGTTAGCAGAGATTGTTTAAGAGGAGGAGAGAGCAGGCTAGCAGAGATTGTTGGGGAAGAGGAGAGGGCAGGCTAGCAGAGATTGTTGAGGAAGAGGAGATGGCAGGCTAGCAGAGATCTGTGAATCTTGGCCAATGGCAACCTGGCATTGATCTTCTGGGAAGCGACGATCCTTTCAAGGGTGCGATTGTCCTCTCCCTCCTCCTCCTCGCCGCTTGCTCCCCTCTCCCATACCTGGTGACACCGTTTGAACCCGGTGCTTAGCCTCCTCGGAGCCTCGTAGCCATTCCACCTCCCCCGCCCCTTGAAATCCCCTCTTAATCGATCCGATTTGAAATGGATCCCCTGGATTCAGTGCGTATTATGTCAATATGGTACCACTTTGGATAATGATAATAAGGTTTTCCTCAAGGATCTCTGCTAACTGCTCGTCATCCGCTTCTATCCATGAAAGCCTAACAGCTAAGCTTTTAAGGCCAATTTCTCTGACGCGGTAACGTATCACGTTTTGCTTCCCAATTCCTGGATCAGCGCACTAAACTGCGCGAGTCTCCGTTGCTTACAGAAAACATGTTTGTTGTGCAGCGTGGTCGCCAGGCGCCACCGAGATGCACTCTTCAAGGTTTCCTGGTTCTACCCATCGTATTTACGTGAATTTAGATTTTTTGGGTATATTCCTTTCAAATTCCCGTTTATCGATTTTTCGACCCAAAATTTAGACTCTTTCTGAGGGTTTCAGGTAGTTTTGCTAGTTGAAATCTAATTATTTTTTACCAAAAAAAAACTACCAAAGCACTTGCAATTAAAAGGCCGTTTGCCAGAGACCCGAACAAGCCTTGTCACAGTTTTTTCCACCTCGTTTTTTGATGCCATGTGAAAGAGCATGGTCGAATTAGTAGGGTGGCGCTATTTCGAGATTTTTAAAAGTTCATTTTCTAAGTTTAAATGGGTGTTAAAGTTGGAAACCTTCAAAAATTATCTCGCGATCTACTGAACCAAATTGCTCGAAAATTTCAGACAATACTTAATTTGGGGTGCTGATCATTTTTGTAATACATTGTAAAGCATGAAAATAGCCGGAACATAGGTTTACCGCGTACACAGAAAGGTTTTTCGCAATTTTCTATTGAATGGGTATGCGTCGCCACTCTAGAAATACCCTTAAAAGATGCGCAATTAAATTCTACATCGAATCATGTATTTTTCAGCGTGGCGACAGATACCCATTAAATCGAAAAATCGCTTTTAAAGACGCCGAACAGAAAAAAAATTGCGTATTCCGGAAAAGAAAGACAGTTTTTCGTATATTGAGACCAAAACAGAGGATTGCAAAAAGAGTAAAACGAAATTCGATTTCTAAAAGGGGGCTGGGATTGAACTCGGGTCGTTCGCCTGGGGAGGTGGCGGCGCCCACTAGTGGCTTTCCCCAGTGCCCCCAGGCGGACCATCGCGAGTTCGATTCCCCACCGAGCCCAATTTCGCGCAAAACCCATATTTCTTTTTGCTCTTTTTTCCAATCGGCTTGCCTTCTTCTTTAGAGCCGATTGAACTTCGCTGATTGCCAAAATACAGTATTTTTATGTTTGTGGAGCCATTTTAGTTGTTTTTAGAAATGTCATTTTTACGATTTAATGGGTATCTGTCGCCACGCTGAAAAATACATGATTCGATGTAGAATTTAATTGCGCATCTTTTAAGGGTATTTCTAGAGTGGCGACGCATACCCATTAAATAGAAAATTGCGAAAAACCTTTCTGTGTACGCGGTAAACCTATGTGCCGGCTATTTTCATGCTTTACAATGTATTACAAAAATGATCAGCACCCCAAATTAAGTATTGTCTAAAATTTTCGAGCAATTTGGTTCAGTGTATCGCGAGATAATTTTTGAAGGTTTTCAACTTTAACACCCATTTAAACCTAGAAAATGAACTTTTAAAAATTTCGAAATAGCGCCACCCTACTAATTCGACTATGCTCTTTCACATGGCATCAAAAAAACGGGGTCGAAAAAACTGTGCCAAGGCATCATGGGGGCTGTTCGAGTGACCGGCGGACGGCCTTTTAAGTTGCTAGACATTTCTAGACATATAGAAAAAGGTTCAGCCCCCCCTCCAGTAATGCGGAAGTACGCACATTGGCTTGTCCTCTCTCCTTTATTCTACAAAAATGTTGTTTTGCAATTTGCGAATACCCATTCGAAAATCCAACCCCCGCCCCTTGCAGAGAACTTCATCCCGCCAACTGCCCTAAAACACGACCCGCAGGGCTGCCCGATCACGATGGCGTCCATGCTACAGCAAAAGCTGTTTTTATTCGTAACTATAGCCTTGATATTGGGAGGTAAATAAAAGCCTTAATTTCTCCATAACATCGAAAAATCCAGGGCTCTGCCTGACAATCGCCGGTGTCTTTTCCCCCGCATGGCAGGTGGCCGCGATTCGGGAGTTTATGGCTGAGCATCAGGTAATAGGAGTTGCAACTAGGGTGTGAGCTTCTACGTTTAAGCACGGTCTCTGGTGGGACTGCATTCGGGCGGAGAAGCACGTCGTCTCGGCCGGAGATTTCTACAATGAGGAGCCACTCCACTGCATGTACAAGGTAAGCTGGAGAAATCAAGAATCTCTGCTAGCCTGCCCTCTCCTCTTCCTCAGAAATCTCTGCTAGCCTGCCCTCTCCTCCTCCTCAACAATCTCTGCTAGCCTGCCCTCTCCTCTTCCTCAACAATCTCTGCTAGCCTGCCCTCTCCTCTTCCTCAACAATCTCTGCTAGCCTGCCCTCTCCTCTTCCTCAACAATCTCTGCTAGCCTGCCTTCTCCTCTTCCTGAACAATCTCTGCTAGCCTGCCCCTCTCCTCTTCCTCAACAATCTCTGCTAGCCTGCCCTCTCCTCTTCCTGAACAATCTCTGCTAGCCTGCCCTCTCCTCTTCCTCAACGATCTCTGCTAGCCTGCCCTCTCCTCTTCCTCAACAATCTCTGCTAGCCTGCCCCTCTCCTCTTCCTCAACAATCTCTGCTACTGCTCATGCTCAAACATCTCCAGTTTGACAACTCGGCCGAGCAGGTCATCGAGAATACGCTGATGAACATTGACGAAGATGGAGCAGCCGGCGAGAGCGAGCACCACAGATTCTGGGGGTAAGGTCCTGCTCACTCCTCACGCAGGGCTTTAGCAGATACAATTGACCCTTTCATCCATCTTTTCAGCCTGGCACAAGATCATCCTCTTCTGCATCATCACCTCGCAGATCGTGGCGATGGTGTCGATGTGCTGCGGTGCCTGCACCCCATGCATTCCCCAGGCTTCGCTTGGGTTCACCGGATGCATCATTGTCGCAGGTATCAAAAATAAGAACGACCAAAACGAAATGCTCTCAGTGGTGCTCTCCCTAATCGCGGACGGCGTCTTTTTCCTGGCCGCCAACCGAGTGGATAACCGCTTCGTGCAGGGTGTTGTCGGGACTTATGAGGTGAGGAGAAAATTTTTAATACAAATTTGTAAATTTTTCACGTTTAGGAATAGTAAATATTTATATTGAAAAATTAGACCTTAAGAAAAAAATTGTTCCCCCCCCGATAATGCGAAAGAACGCTTTTAGCAACGGATCGGCTACGCTTTCTACGTCCATATGGGCGGCACTCTGTGCTGGATGGGCGCTGCCCTCCTCGCCGTCACCACCGCATACAAAGTGCGTTTTTAAGGCCTTGCCATTTTCTTATAAATTCTCCTCTCTTTAAATTCTAACTTCTCAACACCATTTTCAGGTGATGGGCAGCGACCACGAGGATACCTACGGAGGGTAGGCAATTTCGAGCTTCAGACCCGATTTTCTTTCTTGCCGTTCAACGCTATCCTATCGTTTTGTTGCCGTTGTGAATCGGCTTTTCCTGATTTGCATAGAGCTTTTAATAATTCAAAACACCTATAGAGACGCTAGGAAAATATAGCGACGATTTAGAATTCACGCAATAGTTTTAAACGGCTTTTTTCAGAACGAAACGTGATCCGGAATTTGAATTTTTTGCAAATTCCCTAACCTAGCAAAGCTAGCAAAGTTAGTATTATCCTGTCTTCACACTCTTCTAGCCAATTCTATCCCACTGTAAAAAAAAACATCCAAAAAAATACCGAAATCCCGTTCAGAAAGGAGCCCTACCACTGGCAGCAGAACGCCCGCCCAACACCGCTCAACGTGTAATTTTTTCGGAACCATTTCTTCTTTTTCCACGGGATTGCAGAAGAGGCACTAAATTTTTATACAAACGAATTTTCGGTTCTTCTAAGCCAAAAAAGCTAGCAGTACTAAATGAGAAAACTGGTTTCTGCAATCCCGTAAAACAAGCTAATCTATCTAACCCTCGGTCCTGCATGAATTAACAAAAAGGATGGGATACGGTATTTCGGCTGGCCGAAATACCGTACCCCGCTTAAGCCGCTGAAAGGGACTGTGAAGGCAAATAAGCAGGTTCAGACAGAATATCAAAAATCCCAATCGATCGCAAATATCGAAAAATCTTGAATATTGCTAATCTAGAAACTCAGAGGATTATTCAGACTGTGGTATTTTTGAGATCTGCAGAATCCGATCTTATAAAAGTTCAACGTTTTGAAATGGGAGACTGAAAAATCGATATTCTGAAATTCTTAAATTCTGATTTTCGTGATTTCGGTAGCCATGCGACAAAAAAGTTGATTCACCATATGAATAAACTCAAAAAATTCCATTTTTGCCTTCACAGGTCCTTTAAAAGGCTCTGGAGGACCGAGCTGGGCTTTTTATCGGCCGTGTAAAATGGCGTAACTTTCAAAATACGCACGACTTTATAGAAACCATCAAATTCTCTAAACCTATGCGAAAAATGCCAATTTTCCAATCGATCAAAAGCCCAGTCAGCCACCTCCAAGTACCCCCGCCAAAACTGTAGTGCCATTTTCAGCCGTGTGTCGTCCTTCTAAACCCCCTATAGTCTGCCCCAATGTGCAGCACCACCCTCTTCTTCTTCTACCCTCTGGTTTGCCCACCTCAAAACAAAAAAACAAGGTGCGCTTTATCTTTCATTTCGGGCTAGCGAACTGTCGAACACCACTTTGCGCTTCGAATTTTACTTCCTATTTTTTTTTTTCGCGGCACCGCACAGCTGCCCTGCCCCGGGGCTTTGAGTTTCGGCTTTGCGACTTGTTTTCGCGGGTCAGTAGCGGTTTTTGAACGCTGCAGGCAGGGTTCGGGCCCGGAAAAATTGGCGAGAGTCACGTGAGCTTGAGCGGAATTTCTGCAAGCGAAAAAGTCGTGATGGGTGGGGTTTGATCCTCAGAGGCTCGGTCTAAGCCTAAGCCTAAGCCTAACTTAAGCTTAAGCCTAAGCCTAAGCCTAAGCCTAAGCTTAAACCTAAGTCTAAGCCCGTAACCCAATCATCACCTAAAACGACCTCCTGTAAACCAACTCTCCAAGCCAAGTCAAGCCAGCTAGACGTAGTCCGCGTTAGTGGAGTGGTTCGTAAAGTGGTAAAACAAAACAGGTTGATCGAATTTTCAAAAATCAACAATTTCAGCCCCCGCGGCGACATGCATTTCCGTGCGGGGCCCCGGGACGACCCGCTGATCGAGAAGCTGCCGCACTCGTACCGCCAGCCCGGTGCACAGTATCGCCCTTCCCCAATGCCCTACAGGGAGACTAGCGCCTAAATCGTGTCCTTCCGATTACCGTATTCCCTCGAAAGCCTAGTCCTAAGCTAAGCCCAAGCCTAAGCCTAAGCCAAGTCTAGGACTAAGCAAGCCTAAGCCTATGTCTAACCAAAGCTGAGAATACGGTAATCATAACCTTTCCTACCGAACTATTCGGCTTACGGTAGCCATCCCCTAGGAACAAATTGCGTAACCCGAACACACCGAAGGACCCACATTCTCGCTTCAAAACCTTTTAGCAAGCCAGGAAACTCGATACGCCTGGCTAAAACCCAACCCGGCTACCGTAAGCCTCATCCTCGTGTTCCAGAAAATATCTCAGCAAAAACAATATATTTCCCCTCTTCAAAAATCCCTCACCGCATTCTAATAAATTCAGGATCAGCCCCCCGCGGCGTTGCCTTGACATTTTCTGTGTGCCCCTCCCCCCATTAATGCATTTACACTCCCACTCAGACATACCCCACCCCCAATTCTTTCACAACTTTGTTTGCCAATTTTTATAGGGCCGGAAACGAGGGGTTCAAAATAAGAAAAGTACGATAAAAAAGCCAACCCCAGTTTCCAGACCCCTTCATGCGCTCGCATCCTGTGAATGGTGCCGGTTTTGAATTGTTTTCTTCGTGTTTCTATATTTTGCTTGTGCTATGTATTTCTTCCGTCCATTTTTCCCAGTATAATCCCTGACTTTCACCTCTACGCCCAGATCTATTGAAGCTCCCCACGCAATTTTGTGTGTGTTTTCGCTCAATAAATATCGCGAAAAAATTCGGTTTTTTTGCTCCCGTCTTCGAGGTTTTCGAAGCACGTCTCCTGGTAGATGCTTCCAAATTCTCCGGCGCACAGAAATACCACAGAAACTCTCGTGTTTGAGAAAGTTAGCTCGCAGAGACCTCCAAAAACAATGCAGTACCATTTATCGCTCGTAATTTCCGGGGGAACACGGGTAGCGCACATAATGCAATTCCAGCTCAAAGCGTATATAAAAATGCTTGGCGAGAGGCCACAAACAAATTCCGAGTAATCAGGCGGTGGCGAGTAGGTCCCACGCGCAAATGCTGATATGAATAGTGGGGGTCTGTGTATATATATTTGTATGTGTATGCGGAGGTGGGGGGGGGTATAGAACTCTATACAAAAACAATCACTAACAAGGGGATATCAGAGCCACAAGAGCGGAACAGGGCCAAAATCTTGGGGACACAGAAACAGTCAAAAATATCGGTCGATAATTGCACTGTCAGTACGTTTTTGTGAATTCGAGTAGAGATATGGCTATAAAAAGAGAAAGGGTGGTCGAATCAGCACTCGACCGTCCAGCCGGGCATCTGCTCACGTCCGTATTGGATGTTGGCGATGGTCTGGTAGAGGCGCTGCATCAGATTCGGGTTCGCGTCCATCGTCGGGATCTTCATGCGCACAAACTGTCCGTTTTGCTGGTGCACGATCTCGCCGATCGGGGAAACGACGGCAGCGGTTCCGGCGCCGAACAGTTGTAGCAACTGAAAAGTCATAGGTAAAGATATTCAAACAATTAATAAAAAACTGATTATTCGCTTTTCTCTAGTATCCAATTTTCCCTTGACAGCTTTATTTTTCCTCCACGCGAAAACGCCAATCGTAATTTAAAAAGTTTGAAATTTGATTTTCATCCAGTTTCAAAATTTCCGAATAGTTTTCGTGTTAAACCGCAGCTACCGTTTTCCAAAACAACTACCAAAAACAAGAAATAAAGCCTCTAAGCATAGCATCTAGCTATTCCCTGTCTTTCTTTGTTTCGAAAGCTACAAAAACCAACCCTGCCCTCCTTGAGCGCGTCGGTGACGTCACGCATGGTGAATGGTCGCTCCGAGACCTTGCACTCATTCCAGAGCCTCGCCAGGTCGAGCAACGACTGGCGCGTGACACCGGGCAGGATGAGGCCCGAGTCGAGGGGTGGCGTCACAAGCTCGAGGTCTCCCTACAAAGAAAACAGTGTGATGAAGGAGGGCACGTGGGTGGTTACCTCTTTGTTCTTCCACAGCGCAAAGATGTTCATCGTTCCGGCTTCAGTGATCTGCTCGTCTTCGCCGTACAGCCACATGATTTGCTGGCAGTTTTGATCGCGGGCGGCATTCTAAAAGACTTTGGTTTACTTGAATAGAATATGAAGAAGTTTAATCAATAGTTTTTAGAAAAAAATCTGTTAATCTAGAAAAGAAAAAGAACTAGAAAATCGAATGACACTTCAACAGCTCCTCGTCTCGTTGAGCAAACTTTAACGATTAAAAAAGCAACAAAAAGGCTACATGATAAGTGGGAGCTTGAGGATCAACACCGACATTGCTGATGGCGATCGTCGGCGCGTAGTTGCAGCCCATCTTGAAAGCGCCCACGCCGCCAGGGAAGGCTCGGATATAACGGCTGTCGGCCAGAAGGGAGACGGGCTTGAAACCGGTGGCGTAGTAGGGACCGACGGGGCCGCCGATCACGAACAGTTTGGCCTCCTGAAAATCCAAATTTCAAAGTATCTTTCAAACACGAAAACATTACATAGCTGGCTTTAAATCACAATTTTCTTACCGATGATGCGCCGACACCCAGCGTCGGGTCAGTGCCGATCATCGTCGGCCGAATGTAGTAGGAGGCCGTCTCGGAGTTGGGCACCCAGTCCTTGTCAACGCGAAGCTAAATTAAAATAAGAGCAAAAGGATCCCAAACTAACCATCTCAACGATCAGCTTAATCAACTCCTGCGAGTCGAAGTCGGGCAGAGAAGCGCGCACAGCGGTGCGCCGCATTCGTGCCATGTTCAGCTCGGGCCTAAACGAAACAGTAATATAAATAAAGCGAAAAACACAAACCTGAAAATCCGAATCTTGCCGTCAACGCCTCGGTACGCCTTGAGACCCTCGAACAACTCGGCGGCATAGTGGAGAACCTAGAAAAATTGTATCCAAAAAACGCTCGTGAAAATACCTTGGCGGCCGGGTGAATTGAGAGCTCGCGGAGGGGCTCGATCTTGGGCCGCGTCCAGCCCTTGTCCAGCGACCAGTCGACGTTCACAAAGTGGTCGGAGAAAACGTGGCCGAAGGGCAGCGTGTTGTAATCCGTTGGCTTTTCGCGTAATTGGTCACCGCTGGCTCGGATGATCTGGAAAAAGACCTGATAACAGGTGACCACAACTCGCTATCAAAAAAGACGCTGGGTAAATCGTATAGTTGCGATCAGAGTCAACGTTATAAAAACAAACATCAACATCCTGATGGTAGAAGGAGCAGCGGGGGTCGCCGGTGACCGGCTCGGCCTTGGTCTGCTTGCCAAGCGACTGGGTGCCGAGAAGGCGGCGCGAAATCGTGACCAGGTTGTGTCTCATTTTTTAGCTGAGTTGGCTGAAAGAAAAGTTATAACTTGATATCGTCACTGACACAATGTAAGAACGAGAAAACGTGTAAATTGCGCCGCAGTTGAAAGCAAAATAGTGGCCGAAAAGCCAGAAAGACAGGAAACTGAATTCAAAGCACAAAAACGCCTTTTAAAAGGCGCCGAGTTGTAATAAAGTGGGGGCGTCCGAGAAACGCCTTTAAAAGCCAAAAAAAAGATGGAATCGTCGCCATTAGCGATTGCAAGGATGATGCAAGCCGGCTGGGCCTTTCTCTATACAGTCGGTTGGTCGAGGTGAGTGAATGGGCGGGAACGGGAGGGAAGGCAGGACCGATTCTTCGGCACCTCCCATAATTCTCCGGGTTCTCCATACCGCGTGGAACATTCCCCGGGGCTACGAAAAGCAAAACGGGCACTATCGTGGCCTATCGCATGCACCCGGCCGATTTATCTAGATCCAATTAGTGGCCGTTGGGGCGGAACTAGCTAGCCAGATTGCAGAGAGATTGCCGCCTGAGAAGTTCGGGGCAGAAGCCTTCAAAAAAAAAAAGAAGAAACGTAGGGTAGGAATCAGAGAAAGAGAAAAGGGTGCAAGTTTTCAAGAACTGTGGAAAAAGTTAACTGTAGCCTTCTACTCTATCGGATAAGACAAAGAGACAGATTACAACGGAACATCCATTTTTGCAAAAGACGCAAAACAAACCCGCCACGTGGGTAGACAATCGTAGAGGCCCAAGGCCAGTGACTCGACGAAAACAAAAAGGTCCACCCAGCCGGCGGGTGAAAGGGCATTTTGGCGGAGCGGAATGTGTGGGATGAGGAAAAGCAAATGCGCCAAAAACCCGACAACGGCGGGAACAGTGAAAGGCGATCCGCACACGCGGCTCCGCGCTTTGAGCAAGAACTGCA